AGGGATTTTAAGATCTGCCAGTGGTGACGCCCCCTCCACCCACACATGAATGCATCTATAGTGCAGCGGGGAGCCCGGCCGTGGGCAGCAGAGCCCAGGTTCCAGCCAGAGGTATCACTATCACCTCCATCTCTGAGCCTGTGACTTCTCCCTCTGCCAAAGGGGGAGGGTGAAGCAGGTAACCACTGGAATTTGTAGTTTGCAAAGATCTTTCTCCTTTGCTACTGAGTTTCCTCCTCACAACACCTCCGCTCGCTGACACATCACCCATTTCCTCTCCTAGCATCTGTCTCAACCTGACATCATCTCATTTTCTTGTTTACTTATTTGTTTATTTATGCATTGATTCTCCCCTCGACTGGAATGTGAATTCCTGGAGAGCGGAGAGCACTTGTTGGGGGCGGCGCTTATCCTCATAAGGCCACAGAGGATGCCCAGAGCTATGCAGTGTGGGGTCCGCTCGCTCAGACCTGTACCTCCGCACTTCCTAGCCAAAGGGCAGGCAGGGGTTAGGAACTCAATACCTGTTGGTTTGATGAGCGAGTGAATGAAAAAAAATTCATGAAATAGTCAATGCAAGCACCCGTACCCTCATTTGAAAGCCGAGGGAAGATGCTCAGAGAGGGACAACTTGCCTGCCATGCTAGAACATGCAGGTGGCAGATCTGGACCGAGAAACCGACTCCCTGTTTCTTGGGATGGGGGCTTCATTCACTGCCCCGCAGGCCGTGTAAGCCCAGCCAGTAAGCCAGTAGCAAACTGGGATGGAGCGTTTACAACGTGTCTGGGGCTGAGGATCTGCAATGAAAAGACAAACTCCCTGCCTGTGTGCAGGGAGAGAGACAGCCCATAAAATATTCAGAAAGAAAGATACACTTAGGTAGTGACAAGTGCTATGAAGCATCTAAAATAAGGCCACAAGCTAAAGGATGAGGATGGCAGTGGGCGGAAGGGCAGGGGGTGTGGGTGCGCGGGGAGGATGGCTACTTTATGTGGCTGTAGAAGGCCTCTCTAAGGAGGTGGCATTTAGCTAGTACGGAAGGAGACGAGGGGCTGGGGGGTGGGCGTCCCACCAGGAGTGAGTCCGGTGGGGCCTGGCCGTGGGGTGAGGGGCTCACCTTCTCCTTCGGTTGCCGGGGAAGCATTAAAGCAGGAAGTGATCTGCTCAGATTTTGCTTCAGAAATATCACCCTGGCCCCTGTACAGAGACGTTGGGGAGCAGGGGAAGAAACAGGGAGCCATTAATGGGTGTTTCAGTAGCACTGGGGAGAAGCGACCGTTGCACAGATCGATAGCTGGGGAGAAGTGCCAGATGCTGCGTGTGTTTGGGAGGTAGATTGATAGGACCTGCTGATGGATTAGATGTGGGGTTCGAAGGTAAGGGAGGCTGACTCTGAGGTTCTTGGTCTGAACAGTGATGGATGGTGGTGCATCTACGAGCTTGTGCAGATGGGGGAGAGCAGACTCTGCAGACACAGCAAGAGCCTGGCATGAGCCATGTTGGGTTTGAGATGCATATCAGACACCCAAGAGGGAGTCACGTGAACACAAGCCTATTGGCATCTAGAGCTCAAAGGAGATGTCTAGGCTGAGGTGAGAACTGGAGAGTCAGCAGAGCTCGGTGGTATTTAGAGCCCTGAACTTCAAAACAAAAGCTCCCGGGCTTCCCTGGTGGCGCAGTGGTTGAGAGTCCACCTGCCAATGCAGAGGACACGGGTTCGTGCCTCGTTCTGGGAAGATCCCACATGGCGCGGAGCGGCTGGGCCCGTGAGCCATGGCCGCTGAGCCTGCGCGTCCGGAGCCTGTGCTCCACAACGGGAGAGGCCACAACAGTGAGAGGCCCGTGTACTGCAAAAAAAAAACCAAACAAAACAAACAAAAAAAACCCACAAGAGCTCCCAAGGAGAGGGTTTAGAGACCAGGCCGGAGGCCGGGCACAGGGAGTAGCAGCATGGCAGGCAGTCTGGGTTAGCCCAGGCAGGAACGTAGACCTTCTTGCTTTGTCTCATTGGTGGAGGTATATTTCATGGAATGAGAAAGCATATCCTAAAGCTGTCAGTTCCATTCTTCATGCCTCAGTTTCCCCATCAGCAAATTGGAAGATGCAGGATCTGGGTTTAGGCTTGTTTTTAAAAGATGACTTCCAAACATGGCATTTCTTGGCCCAGAGCTGCCTCTTCTTCCGGCCCATGACTGGCCTGATGCTACAATGGCTGTGGGATGTCCACAGCAATAGACTGCTGCTCCAGGTCGGTCCTGACAGCCTGCACCCTGGGCAAGCTGTTAGATGTAGAATTAGACAGCAGGAGAGAATTCTACTCCACGCTTTGGAAAAGAGCGGAAGACAAAGCAGGAAAAGAGGGTGGTGAGAAAGGAAGAAGGAGGTTTGGTGAATTGAGATGGAAGAAAGAAGAGATGTTACAGACCAGGAACAGGAGACAAAGAGATAAACAGAGAGGGAGATGGATGAGAAAGAGGAAAGGGTGAGAAAATTGCCTCGCTTCCAGTTTCCTGAGAAGCAGCACCCGGGTAAGTGAGAGCACCAGGTGCCAGGCCCTTTGGGAGGGAAGCGAGGTTGGATGGGGCATGGCCCTGTGCCCAAGTAGCCCTGGGCCCCGCCAAGGGCAGCAGCCACACAACCCGGTGAGCCCCTGCAGACCATGGCGGCTGCCGGGGGAGGGCAGCAAGGGGCATGCTGGGCGGAGGTGAGAGACCTGGACATGGAGGCTCTCAGGGAGTCCCTGCAGGAGCTGGGGCCTGATCGGTCTTGAAGGATTGTCACAGATGGAGAAGGGAGAGCGCGAAGGCAAAGGTGATCCAGGCGCCAGGAACAGTGGGAGCGGCAGGAACCATCCCTGGCACATTTCCTGAGGGTGAGTGGAGAGGTACAGCTGAGGCGTAGGGTGGGTGTCAACATGTCTTCAGAAATCCAGGCTCCAGTGAGATGTGGGAGGACAGCTTCCTGCAGGAATTGTAGACTTCGGAGAGGGGGAAAAGCAAACAAACAGACGATAGCCAGCACTGGTCCAGTTTCAAAGGGCCCTTCTTTTTCCAACATGTGAAGCTAAGGGTGCACCATCGTCATGATAACAAGCATTTATAGAGGCCTCTCTGTGCTCTGAGCACATCCAGACCACTCCATCTGTAACGACACCAGTGAAAATCCTTACAACAGTCCTGTGAACTAGACACCATTGTTTACTTTTGATACTATTGCTTTTATCACCATTTTTAAAAAATTTATTTATTTTTGGCTGCATTGGGTCTTCGTTGCTGTGCGCAGGCTTTCTCTAGTTGTGGAGAGCGGGGGCTACTCTACGTTGCGGTGCGTGGGCTTCTCATTCTGGTGGCTTCTCTTGTTGCGGAGCATGGGCTCTAGAACGCAGGCTCAGTAGTTGTGGCGCACGGGCTTAGTTGCTCCGCAGCATGTGGGACCTTCCTGGACCAGGGATCGAATCCCTGTCCCCTGCATTGGCAGGCGGATTCTTAACCACTGCGCCACAAGGGAAGCCCTATCACCATTTTATAAATGATACTGAAACTAACTTGCCCAGGGCCAACACATCAGGGAGTCTGGCCACCTCACTTCCTCACCCCCACAACCCTCAAAAGAGAGTGGAAATGGAGTGGAGTTATCTAGAAGGAGGCTGCCTTAGACATCCCCTACACACACACACGCATGCACGCACGCACACACGCACATGCACCCATGCACAGAGCACTATAACTCTGACTACTAAATGAAAGATGCCCACCTAGTGGTCACCTGGCCACAGTGCAGACACTCAATCCCAAAGGCCCATTGAGCTTCATTCACTTATTCAATGACTATTGAGCACCTACTATGTGCCAGCATAGTATCCCAGCTAGGGATACTGGGAGGGACAGGACAGAAAAAGCCCCAGTCTCACAGAGCTTACACTTTGTTGATGAGAAACAGACACAAATAGGAGAAATAAGAGATATGAAAAGTATGGTGGATCAAACAAATGGGGATGTGAGGGAGGGTGGCTGGAGAAGCTTTAGAAGGAGTGGGCAGGGAGAGCCTCTCTGAAGAGAGGAAATTTGACCAAGACCCAAAGGTGGGATGGACCCAGCCACTTAAAAATCCTGGAGAGAAGTGTTTCAGACAAAGAGAATAGCAAGTGCAAAGGCTCTGGGACAAGATCAAACAAAACATGTGACATAAAGAGGCCATTGGTCCTGGAGCAGAGTGAAGGTGAGAGAGTGGAGGTCTGTGAGGATGGAGAGGTTGGCGGGGACCCCATCATGGCAAGCCTGCTTCGGAGTCCATGGCAAGGATTTGGGATATCTTTGTCCAAATAGTAGGAAACCACAGCAGGGCTTTCAGCAACAGAGTGATCCTAATTCAAGTTACATTTAAAGACAGTCTTGGACTTCCCTGGTGGTGCAGTGGTTGAGAATCTGCCTGCCAACACAGGGGACAGGGATTCAGCCCTGGTCCAGGAAGAGCCCACATGCCGCGGAGCAACAAAGCCCGTGCGCCACAACTACTGAGCCTGCGCTGTAGAGCCCGCGAGCCACGACTACTGAGCCCGCGCTTTGCAACAAGAGAAGCCAGTGCAAGGAGAAGCCCGCTCGCCGCAACAAGAGAAAGCCTGTGTGCAGCAACGAAAACCCAACGCAGCCAAAAATAAATAAAAATTTAAAAAAAATTTTAAAGACAGTCCCTGTTTATTTCCTTCCATTAGGGTGGAATTGCTGGTGATGACAGAGATTGGGATTGTGGCCAAGAAGATGGAGAGAAGAGGGCGGAGTGAAATATGCTAAACATAGAGACATCAATGGAACTTTGGGTGGATGGGCTGTGAAAGCGAAAGGGGGGTAGGAATCAAGGTCGGCTGCTAGTTTTCTGGCTTGAGTGGGAGGGGCTGCCATTTCCCAAGCCGAGAGTGTGGGTGGAGGACCAGCTCAGTGGGCGGGGGGCCGGAAGGGGACCCTTACATCCAGAGCTTCCTTTGGGGCGTCTTACACTGAAGATGCCTGCGACATCCAGGTGAGATGCCAGGTAAGCTGTTGGAAGGAGGGGCTGAGTTCTGATAAAATAGGTTTCGTGCCCTTGGCCAGGGTAGTGCCTGGCCGCACTAACCCAGGGCCCGTCCGTGCAGCCCACACCTGCTCCTTCTCTCGCTTCCTTCCAGGCTTCTCCTTGGGGCATGTCCCGGTGTGGTGGGGGAACGGCTTGGGGACAAAAGAAAAGAACTCCCAGTTCCTTTCCTTTCTATTTTCAACCCTTGACCCCTTGCAGCGAGCTCCCAGCTCTCCTCAACTTTAGGATCAAACACTGGGAGTGGATGGAAGCCCCCTGTGACCCTCTGTCTCCCTTCAGTTGAATGCGCCCTTGGTCCTGGTGTCGGCTGCCTCTGTGGGCTAAGAGCCTGCGAGTGTGACACGCAATCCGCTTCAAAGAGAACCTGCCCAAACTTCAAGCGGTTCCTCTCCAGCTGGCCCCGCTGCGGCAGGAGCAAACTCCAATGCTAGTGAGGCCACGGGTCCCTGGTCGGTCTGGTCTGGGATACTCCTTTGTCACTCAGCATTAGAGGGCTGGAGATCCACAGTGGAAAAGACAGAATCCTGGCTTTCAATGGAGGGAGACAGACCATAAACATACACATAAATAGTACCTTCCAATAGCAGTAAGCACTAGGAAGCAATAAAACAAGGTGAGAGGGTAGAGAGAAGTCGCCTACCCCCATCCCAGGAAATTTCCAGGAGGGGAAAGGCCCCAGGATCCGCCTTAAACTCTCCCTCCATCCCCACGTCAAAATCAGGATACAGGGTGGGTTTGGGAACCAGAGCCACAACCCAGATCCAGCTGGAGCCAAGCAGGGATCCTGGAAAACAAGGTCTCGGCCACATGCCAAGGACCCGAGAAGCACACTTGGACTCTGTTTCTCATTTGCTGGAGTTCTGCCTTCTCCAGAAAACCCCGAGGTAGGAAGAAGTCGATGCCATTTTCCCCTCCCAGGAGACAGAGCATGAGAACGTCAGCCCCCACGGCTGCCACCTGGATGTCGCGCCAGGAAGATAACAAAGAAATGAAGAAAGGGCAAGGGAGAAGGAATTGGGGGTATCCAAGATTTCGATCCACATTTAGAAGCCCCTGGTTATAAGGCGTAAATTCTAATAAATATTAAAGTGGTCCAGTCAGGGTGGATGCTAATCGTTCTGATGCCCTGGGGTAGATTGCAAAAATGACCACAACTCTTCTTACCTCTCTGTATCCTCACCTCTCACGATGTAATGCTCAGCTTTTCCCACCAAGCGGTAGGCTGTTTTCCCCACCCCCGAATCTGAACTCTGAACTGGCCTTGTGATTTACTGTGGTCAATAGAACAAGGTGGAAGTGATGGTCCACCAGTTCGCCAGCAAGGCCTCTGGAGGCCCGACGCACGTCCCCTCTTTCTTGGAAACACCTGCCGCTGCCATGAGAAACACCCTGGGCCCACCTGCAGGAGGGCAGGAACCCACCTGGATCAGGGTCGTCAGGCCAGCTGGCTGGCTGAGGACCTCAGACCTGTGAGAGCACTCGGCGGGGATCAGCAAAGCCAGCTCACGGCTGACCAGAGACACCAGAGAACCTCGCTGAGACCAAAACAACTGCCCAGCTGAGCCCCAGCTAAACCACCACCTTGCAGAAGTGCAAGCTACATAACGGGCCCATTTAATGTCATTAAGTTTTGGTGTGGTTTGCCGGGCGCTGTAACTCACTGATGTCGTTGGTCTTCACTACCCGAGGCTCTAGGGTTCTCAGCACTGTGCCGAGCTTGGAGGCCACATGAACAGCGTAGACGTGCCCCTGCCCCTTACCTGTCAGGCTTGGGAGGAGAAAGGCCATCCTCGTGCAATACTGGAGAGCACACAGAGGCTGTGGTCACTCACAGAAGTTCATTGAGCCTCTGCTAGGCAGCAGGCACAGACCTGGGCGGTAGGGACACAGACGTTTAAAGAAAACAAACAGAGAATCAGGTGTAAATATCCTGGGGAGAAAGTTGAGAGCCAGAGCAGCTTTTAGAAGTTCAAGTTCAGGCACTTACAATCTGGATTGAGTGACGCTGTCACGGGTGTGAAGACAGGGAAGCCAGAGGTGGGTGGTCAGCAGAGGGTCTGGGAACTAGGGCTCCGGGGCTCTGCCTGGCTCACCTGGCAGGTCACGGGGGAAGCTGGTCTGTTTTCCCACCTGCCCACGCGCTGTAGTAATCGCTACTGCAGAAGGAAACTTGGGGTTGACGGGCGTCATGGTTAAGGTTGTAAAAGGTGGTGAGGGGAGTGACCATGGAAAGGCAGGCATGGAACCAGGGTGGCTGGGCACCTCCCCTCCTTGGGGACTCTGGACCACAACAGAGACCAGCTCAGGACTGGCCAAATGACACAGTGGAGGGAGGGAGGCCAGGGCTGGGCTCAGCATGGGGGCAGGGATTTCAGTGTGAGATCCAGGCCGTGGTCCACCGCCTGGGCCTTCGATTCTAATCTGTAAAATGGGGCCCGTGGTGGTATCGAACTGCTGCCGTCGATGCCCTGATTCTGGGAGGACAGGACGGTGGTGGGACTGTCGTTGGCTTTCACTGGGAAAGCCCGCTCTCCTGGAAGGGCGATCATTCATCCCCTCAACAAATCCACATCAAAGGCCTGCTGCAAGCCAGGCCCTGTGCTAAAGCAGAGAAATAAAGCTGCATCCGACTCCAAGTTGCTCTCAGATCAGGCAGAACACAAGTCAGCGGGTGATTACAAGGCAGGCTGGGAGATGCTGAAATTGGGGTCAGCTCACGAGCCATGACCACCATCGGGGCAGGGGGTCAGCATTCCCCGAGGAATGCTGAGGGTCTGATGTCTCACCTGAGAGCTGAAGATAAGGGGGAGTTGGGGTACCAAGTGAGGTAGAGGGATGGAAGGTGATTCAGCAAACCTGCTTGAAAGCGCCACTGCCACGTCTCCCCCCAGATCAGCTGAAGGGCCGTCCTCCATGTTTGCCCCTCCCCCAAGCCAAAAACATGCATGTCAAATTCTTTTTCTCATATCCCACATCTAATGTATTGGCACCTTCAAAATACACTTAGATTCTATGTTTATAAAATACTTCAGTAAAATGTACACATTTTAAAAAAGACAAAGATGAGAGGGGAAAAATTTAGAACCACCTGGGCCACCTTCAGGGCTGCCATCTTGGTCTGAGCCACCATCGCCTCGTTCCTGGGCTACTGCTTGCCCCACATCATTCTCTCCACTTCCACCCTCAGCCTCTGCAATCTCTCATCCACCAGCTGCTGGTCAGCAGGGTGCCTGGAGTCTGATCGCGTCACTCCTCTCCTCACGCCCTCCCCGTCTGCCTCTGAGTAAGAGCCGATGTCCTTCCACAGCCCCGAAACCCCCATGACCATCCCCACGCAGCCTCGCTTCCTATCCTCTCCCGCTCACTCCCTCCACCCCAGCCAATGGCCTCCATGCTGTTCTGTTCCTTGAACATGGCGGCCACGCTCCCTCCCAGGACCCTGCCCACAGTGGCTCCCTCTGCCTAGAAGCGGCATCCCACGTGCCTGACTCCCTACCTCCTTCAAGTCTCTGCTGGAATCTCAGCTTCCTGATAAAGCTTATGCGACCCCCCCCTTTAATACTGCCCACCCTCCGCTGGCCTTTCCCATCCCCTTCATCCTGTTCTCTGTTTCCCCATGCATCGTACACTCATGGATACCACTGCTCGTTGTCTGCCTCCCCACTGGAAGATGAGCTCCTGAGGACAAGGATCTGTGTCCTTTTCTAATCCCTGGTGTATATGTTGAATGATGTGAGGTCAATGCAAAGGGGATTGCATTAGCTCAGAGTGGGGAGCATGGAATGTGGGAGTCGATTTTCAAGCGAGCAGGAGATGAGGCAGGCAAGGCCAGGTCAAGGAGAGCCTGCGGCCACTCCAAGAGGTCTGGGCTCGAGCCTGGGAGCAGCGGGGCTCCCAGTGCTCTGAGCCATCACCACTTTCCACCTGGGAGAGCTTGGGCAGCTCAGTGTCCTTAGGGGAAAACAGGCAGACGGTGGACGGCGGAGACCAGGGCGCGTGATGACTCACATGGGGAGGGCTGTGGCGATCGCGGGGACGCACGCAGTCGTGTCCCTTCCTTCCACCTCGGCACTGTTGTAGGAGCGAACGCCCTGCCTCAAAGGGGACAGACGTCAAGTGCAGATGCGTTTTTGCGGCAGCTCTGTGTCTGCACCTTTTCCTCAGCTGCATTTCTTGCCGTCTGGGTGAAGCTGCCAGGCGGTCAGGGAGGGGTGGAGCAGTGGGCACGCCCTCCACCAAGGGTGGGCTTTGGGCTCAGTGCCTCACAGGGAAAGGCTGTCACCGCTTGGGAGTGACTGTGTGCATGGCAGGCAGAGCCATTGTCCCCCATCCCCACTTCCGGGGTGCCTGCAAAGCTGTGAAAGGCGCAGGGATGAGCAGATGTGGGGAGTCTGGCATAAAGCAGCAGCGTGGGCATGGCTGGGGGCCTGGAGTGGGGCAGCCCGCCTGGCGGGGAGAGAGGTGACTGGGTCAGCGAGTACAGAGGCTCTCCCGGGGTGCCTGGGATGGGCCAGGCATTACTGAGCTCATCCGGAAGCGAAATCACGTCCGGTGGGAGAACAGAGGGCTGGGGCAGGGGGCGAGGCCCAGGCCCCGGGACCCTGAGCGGGGAGAAGGGGAATCCAGATGTTCCCTCAAGCCTTGGTTGCTGCAACAAGCAGCCTCCAGGTCCTGAGGCTCACCTCGTCCAGGCACAGCGTTCCCTTTGTGCATACTACACCCGACCTTCCTCGGGCCGTTGCTGTTAAGTCCCCAGCTGACTGAGGCTCAAGGCCACACCGCTAACGCATAGCAAAGCAGCGACTAGAGCCCAGGCTGACTCTCCTTGCCCTAAGGTTCCTCTCCCTGAGCTCATCTCGGAAGGAATCCAGTACTGGCGAGACTTGGGGGAGGGGTAATGGAGGAGGCTGTTCCCCTGGGGTTTAAACACTTGCCCTAGAGGGAGGCCCAGGTTCTGGTTCTGGCCAAGCCACTAAGTCGTTGTGTGGTTTCATTCATTCATTCACCCAGTGCACAAATATCCAGTATGCCGAGACGGGGTGGGCACTGGATTCAGTGGGAATAGGAGGGTACACCCCTGACACCTAAAGCTCACAATGGAGCTGAAGACAGACAAGTAACCAGGTGATAACAAGACAGTGAGGGGCAGGGAGCCCGGATGCAGGCATACCTGGGGGGCACCGCATCCAGACCTGCCGGTCAGCAGAGGCTTCCAGACCTGAAGGTTAGGTGGAAGGCGGCCAGGCAAGGCGGAGAGGAGGGAGAGGGCACCAGGCAGAGGGAACGGCCTGTGGCCGGGAGGCAGGCAAGGGAGAGGGGGCAGCCCGTAGCTGAGATGAGTGTGAAGCAGGGGTGGGGCTGAAGCGGGCTGGAAGGAGGGGAGCTAGGAGGCCAGAGAGAAGGAATCTGGGGTGAGGACCCCCTCACATAA